TTGAGTTATTTTCTAATTATAAAATTTTTTCTGCAAAAAAGATGAAAAGTCGAAAAAATTAGCAAAGAGAGGGAGAGGTCGAAGAGACCAAATGAACATTTCATTATTCCTTGAATTAAAAGAAATGAATTATAACAAAACAGAGTTCTAAGAGGTGAAAAGTGGTAACAAAGTAATTTCATTGCGATAAAACGCAAATAATTTATGGCATTTGCTAATAAAAATAAGTTTTAACTTCAAAAAATATGAAGATTCAGCAAAAAGAAATAGGAGTCGAAGAGACCAAAAGAACATCTCACAATTTCTTATTTGTAAAGTATCTAAAGAGAATATACCAAAACGATATATTTTTCGACTAATCTACGTATCTCATATGCTTTCATTACAGGGTATTTACTTATATATATGGATTGTATACTTTAATATACAATTTCATATAACATACATATGTAGGTATGCACATGCGAATCTGCGCCAAAGACCGAAGAGCCGTAGTATCTACAAACTGTTCAAAGCAGTGAAAAAGTTACCTTGAAACTATTTTCGGCGATTGCAATCGTAATACACACAAAAGTAAAGTGTATAAAGTGAAAAAGTAAAAAAAGGCTGCTTCACATAATAGTGGATGGCAATCTCCAAACTAGGGCTGCGGCAATTAGCGATAATTTTTTTATTATTGCACTGAAATAAAAAGCTAGCCGTAAAGTCATGAAAAGCATTAAAGAGAATTAGTGCATTGCAAAGTTGCTCAGTGATAAAAATTTCAATTTCCCACTTTACCGAAAACTGCAAGTCAACTTTAGTTTACCTTTTGCTACTCTACTTTGCATACTTTAAGGCGCACTTTCACAGCTTAGACTGCTAATGTTGGCTTAACAATTGTGACGTTCACAATTTGCCACTCATTTGCATTATTTTCATGCATTTCTTTTCCATAAAAGAGAGAATGGCGCTCGTGTGGCGGAAACCGAGCTGTAAGGCAGTGCGGAGGGGTCCATTCAAGTACTACTAGTCATAATTTTAGAGCAGCGAATGTGCTCCCTCTAGTGAGGTGGCAAACAAAGCAAGTGTACGCTTCTATATACCGCTATATAGCTTGGCCACAAACAATTCCACACAATTATTTTCGTTTCCTTTTCTTTGTGCCATTCAGCTATAGTCTTCCACTGTATTCCTTTGAGTAAGCATTTTGATTTTATACATTTGCGTTACTACTTTGCGGCGAGTTGTTGTGTTTGCCTAAGCAATTGCAGCGATTATCTTTCCACCACGCATCGCTATGCTTGCACTGACGTGCTTTTTATGTCTTTGTTTGTTTGCTCTCTTCAGTAGTTTTGTTTTTTATTTGTATTTTTTCTTGACCTAGTTCGTGCATTTGTGGCGTAATAGCAAATAATTCAAAAGAAAATCCGTGCAATGTTGAAAAAGCGCTAAGAAAATCACATGTCTCGGGAAATAAATATTATAAGCTAAGATCAATAAGCAAGCTACTAGGATAACTAGCTGAAATTCATGTTAGAATAAATTCTGTATACAATAAATATATTATTTCAACTACCAAGTGGATATTATTATATAGGATAAAGCTCAATTTGAGGTCTCCAAACAAGCGACAACTTCATTTGGACTGAAACTATAATACACAAAATACATCTTATAATAACTTGAATTTGATCCGATCCGTCCGATTTCAACCCTTTTCTAAATTTCGTAAAGCGCTTGATTTGAATTACTTAACTCGTTCGGTCGTTATATGCTATAGTAGTTCGACATCGACGGTTCTGACAAATGCGTAGCTTTTTTGAGAGAAAAAGAAGTGTACAAAATTTCAGTCTGATGTCTCAATACTGACATACAGATGAACGAACATGCAAACTCGAGTCAGTTCGTCACGCTGTTCATTTATGTATAATACATGTTTTGTAGGGTCTTCAACTTTACTTTTTGGGTTACTTACACACGTCGTCGCAAAAGTACCCTTTTTCAAAGTTCAATTAGCTCCGACACTTTACTGAGCCGGGTTCACGAAAAGAAGTTTGAATGGCGTTCATTCCTGTCCAAACCTAAGATAGATAGTTAATAATGAAGTAYTGCACTGCGACYTAGGGTCTATTGTGCCCTCYCCTATATCACATATGGTCACCAAGGTCCAGCATTATGAATAATACAGSAGCCTGCTGGGCGCTACTGAAGTGATGTGATACCTRTCTACGTAGACGGAACCTAGGGCCTTAAGCCTAATTCTGCAAATTGCTAGACATTATAGAATCAAGTCTACTGACGTTTCTTGTTCCATGTTTCAAAACTGACAATTTGCGCAAGAGACTATGCCCATATTGGACAAGTGCTTCCTGCCCCGTATAGAGACGGAATTTGTCTCGGGGAGGTTCATCATTTCTCTAAATCTTGCAAGGTTGTACCATCCCAGTAGTAGCATGATGTGACGCATTCTTGCTGCCTGATGTTAGTGCCGTTATCKTCCCGATCTCTACTTCGTGCGGAGCAACTCTTTTACGATATGGTGAACAACTGCAATGCACGGTTCTGGCCCCATTATCTTGGACGCTGCCGCACCCAGATCAGGTGTACATGGTAGCAAATTGATAGGCGGTTCAGCCTTGCTATACACTTCTCCACTAAAAGTGATTTGACCTCATAAGCTGAGATCGCTTTTAGTGACTATTGCAAAGTATGGCGTTATGCTGGTTGCGATACTATCCCACAGTAGCAGGTTGAGCGTGGAAT